CCCCAAAACCCCAAAACCCCAAAACCCCGTGAAACTTAAAATTTTCAATTTTGAAATTGATGAAATTAAATTAGAATCATCAAATAAATTAATCGCTTTGTTAGGGATCAATAGCAAAATCTTGAATCTGATGATATTCAATCTAAGATAGATGTATTCTACTTGACTGTCCATTGAATTAAGTCTATCTAATTTTATTTAGTTGTGTAGAAGTTTATAGTGAGATTTTTTAATTTCTCGTATTCTTTTTCATGTTCGGAGGGGAATAACGTAACAAATTAACCCTTATTTATTTTCTTCTTGTTGATTACATTAATCGGCATTAAGAAGTTCTTTGAAGCATCATTAATCAGCTTCTAAGTCATTTGCAGCTTTCTCTGCAATACTATTCCTTGTCTTCTCAAACCATAGTTCTAGGAAATTTGAGATACAGCTAATCCAAATGAATTTGTTTCACCAAGATTATTATTATTCCTAGAAGTCATACTTCCAGCAGTCATTGTATGCTTTCTGACATTGTTCATCAAGGTCATTCGCTTCAAGAAGGTGCTCATTTAATGAGTTTACTATCCTAAATTTTATGGCGTCGTTTAGCCTGATGGTAAAAATGAGCTACCTTACACTCTCTTTTTATTTAAGTGCATCGTCGAGGATTACCGTTCAGTATTTTACATAGAACTTTGTCTTTCCATTGCACCTGTGCCTAGATCTTTAAGCAATTCATGAAGCTTTTTTCTTTTGCTAGATTTTTATTCAGTGTTAAACTAATTTCTTTGAGTTTAAGCTACTCCTTCAGCTGCAGCACTTACACTGCTCTTTCTTTTTTCAGCACTATTTTTAGTCAACTATATTTATGGTTCAAGCTCCAAAACAAGATGGGCATAGTCGATTACTTCAGTATCTTCCTTGCTAGAAAGCTTTTTATCCTTTATCAGTTATCTTATAGTTTCGAGGTCATTTCTAGTCTTTATCATTTGATTTTCCTCATCAATAACTGTGGAAACAAAGTTTTCCAACCCCTCTTTGCCCTAAAATCTTTTAATCTTTCTTTATCTCTTTAACCATTTTCTATATAGAATGTCCACATCAGTTAAACCTAATGAGTCCAAATACATCTAGTTAGTATCTGGGTCTTTAAGAGCTTAATAAATCATTCCAATTTCTTCATCTGATTTATTAAAGAAATTATTTTACTAAAGAAATTCATCAATACTGAACTTCTGCATTCTTAGCTTATTTGCAAGCTGCATTTCAAAGCAGTAGTTTTACTGATTATTACTTAGCTTATAATATCCTCTTTAATCCTCATCTTGCTATTTAATAGTTCTACCCAGGCCAGTATCAACCTTATTCCTTACACTCCCTTAGCTATAAGCAGCTTATCTTTCCTTTTATCTCTAGATTGTGTCTTTGGTTATTAGTTCTTCTTTCGCAAATTGGTTTCTCCGAAAGAGATGATTAATCTCAGAGAATATTTATAGTTACTCTTCTGCAGATGTGACAGCAGGTAGGGTCTTGAAATACTAATTGACATCCCCCTTTATGTTATAATTCTTTTACTAAACACTTTTCATTACAAAGTTTATCACATTCTTGTTTCTTTACTTAAAATAGTAATAGGCAGGCAGAGCACCTCTCCTGTCCGAGTAATATTAAAGCACCTCCTTCTTTAAATTATCATTGAACTCCTCCTCCTTCGATTTCAGTTGTTCCTCTTTTATTTCAGAAGGCTTTTTAGCTATTTTTTGTTGCAGCTTTTCTCTCCAATTAGGCTTGTTAGCTGATAAATTAGTGATTGTGTTCAGATTTTACTATAAATCTTCACTGGATTAATTGAAAGAAGTAGCAGAAGAAAAGCTTGCACTCGAAGTAAATATACTTACTTCGTCTTCATCCTTATCAGATTTAGCACTTTGACTTGCTGATTTATCACTATTTACTGCACTCTTCATATCAATTGATTTATTGTGCAAAAGTTTTATTCTTGTAGGAGAATACAACCCAACATTATTACTTCTGCCGGGCACTGATAGCAAGTTATTATTTTTAAATTTCGATTTGATTTTCTTGAGATCCTATTCATTTTTGGAATTCTTTTTTGAATAAGTCTCTTTGATATTCGATTTATTAACTTACGATGGTGAACTTAGCTCATTATCCATTGGCATTAGATTAAGTTTATTTAATTTCAATAAAAGTGGAGGGCTCTTTATTGGTTAACCGTCAATTTACTCTATAGGTTGAATGGAACCAACTCTAGATTTATTGAGTTAATTTTTTTTCTAAGGAATTGGACTCGCCTCATGACTGATTACTTCCTAGATTGCATTTCTAGGACTAATTGGAAGTATTATATCTCCAAACATAAATGTATTCTTAGACGAGAATTTAGCAAAATTATTGTTGATTTGAGGACTAATTAAAACTATATTTTCTCGAGGTGATACTACTGGATTAGTACTGTAATGCCCGTGATGGTTATTAAGCTTAGCTAGACAAGGCATGATAAGAGTCTATTCTTTTATTCTAATCAATTCTTTGTTTAAATGATCAAATATCTGAGACAGTATGTCTTGGAAATATATATCTTGCAGCTTTTTATTTGGCATAAATTTTCCCCTCTGCTTAATTTAATACAGCCATATCTTTAGATTCTCACCCATCACAAATTAGAATTCCAATATCTGAAAGGTCTATGGATTTGGTGTCTTTTTTATAGATCCGTATATCGATATCATCATTATCCTAATTTGAAAAATCATTTAAGCCATTAAATTTCTTCTTAGGTTCAATCTTTTAGATTCCTAGTAAAAAATTAGAATTATTAAAAATATACTATTTATAGAAAATCTACAAATTTTTAAAATGTAATTTTCCCAGAATTCTAACTTTTCTTGCACTCATAAATAGGACTGAATAAAAGATTAATCACTGGTTCATCATAGAATAAAATATCAAATGTACTAGGATCTCGAACCCAAACGAATATAGATAATTTGCACTAAAAATATTTAAAATCAAATTTTAAAAGGCTACTTACCATAGCATCATGAATAAGCAAAGGCTTTTGTAAAGCTCTATCTAGAATAAGGGTATGAGATCATAGTATAATATTCTTACTTATTTTACATGGGGCAAATTCCTGCAAATAATCATAATCTTTAATAAGTTATTAGTCATCTATCTACGCCTTCACTATATTTTCTCTGGTTACAAACCAATTGAACTAAGTCCTGAATTCTAAATTTTTAATTAAGAATTTTTAGGTTATTATAAAATACAGTCTGTGGTTAAGTAGTTCTATCTTAGTACAATATAACTACTGGGAAATGTATACTATTCAAGATAAAATGGATCGATTTGGTAAGTTTTCTAAAGTTTGAGCTAAATTGGAAAAATTTAATTACGATGGCTTCAAGATAAATTTTCCTAAGATTATCATGATGGATATATTCATTGAACTAAGCAAGTGCATTAACCTTCCTAAATCTAGCGAATATCTCTTCCTCAAAGTTTTCATCTGTTCTATAACCTTAAAACACGCTTTAAAATACATCTAAAATTGTTCTGGATTATTGTGCCATAGGAGATCCAGCTAATCACTTTTAGATTAAGTAGCGTGTTCTTCTCTCCATTCATTCTCTAAATTATTATTTAAGCAATGAAATTTTTCATGATAATACTTTTCTTGAGAATAATTTTATGAACAAAATCCTTTGGCTAAGCTATAATTTTGATAGTATGCTTCTTTTAATTGATTGGAGTCGTTTACTGTATCATTTTTATTTATATATTACTAACTCTTTTTTTAATTTCCTCAGTTCATTCAAAATTAACTTTAACTATTATATTGGCAATGTGGTTTTGGGGTTTTGGGGTTTTGGGG